GAGCCCCGCGTTGGGGGCGCCAACTGGTGGCTGGGGACGCAGGCTCGCGGGCTTTGCACTTTCTATCCAAAGGAACAGACTTTTTAAAAATCTCCATCAAACGTGCCTTAAAGCTAAAATATCTTGACAGAAGTGGTTTAAAAGTCCAGAATATTTTCCTCCGTCTCATAACTTTACAGAGGACCAAAGCAATTCTTGTTAATTGTTTTAGTTTCTTGGCCAAGCCTTCGTTAAAGACTTTCTCCTTACCGCCCAGGATCCCCCTTAGTCCTACTATTTTTGTCGCACCTTCCGTTGATTATTATCCCCGCAAAAAAAAAAAAAAAAAAAAAAAAAGTACATCAGGGAACCATTCCATAGGGTAAATGATATGACTACTGTTTGGGGTTTACTGGGCCCCGTCTGTGTACGTATGTGGCATTCACAGGTATGAGTGAGTGTGAGGTGTCAGAGAATCATTTCTTTACTATTGACCAATGCTTCACTGTGCCAAAAGAGGGGGGAAATGTTGTTGAGTTTTGTAATTAAATTATTTATATATTTTTGAAACCTGAATTGAAAATGTTGCAGGCAACGGGCTACAGCTTTATTAGTGGTTCTCTAACTGTGGTCTCCTTGGGCCAAGCAATTTCTCTTAAAAAATTATGCATGTGGTGTGCCAGGACCACTGCCACTTGAAAGCAAGTGTAATTTTTATTTTAATATTATTTTATTTGTGTCTGTGTACATATTCATGTATAAATTTTATGAAACTCAAACACAGTGCTTATTTTTTAATAAAACTCACAACTGATTTAAACATCTGTGGTTATGGGTTGGGGGTGGAGAGCTTTTTACCTCTTGGGGGGAATATCGGTTCAAATTTGGGTCTCAAGAAACTTCCTTTGAGAATCAAAATATTTGTCTGAATAAGTTAATAAAGATAGAATGGGTCTGCAGGTTTCCTTACTAGATATATTGCTATACAGATTTCTAGAACAGGACGTCCTACAGTGGGCTTGTTAAAGGTGAAACCAATGATCTCTGTGATTATTCGCCAGAGTTACCAGAACAATTGAGAAGGTATGTGTCTTTTTCCTTTAGCAGGCAAACTGAGCTCTTAACAAGTCTATAGTCGAGCAGAGTAGACATTTTCAGGTAAATTGATTTGGGACTCAAAAAGCTGGAAATTTTATCTTGCCATAAGACTGGCTTAACACACCAAAGACGTCTTCAGGGCACTTTTAAAAGCAACTTGAATGTCAATATTTTTGTAAATCAAAGCCATCCACCTTTTTAGGAAGACAAAAGTTCAATTGAGTATGAACCAATAGGTAGTATTCTCTCCCTACCTTTTCTCTCATTTTTGAAGATATCATTTGAAGCCAAGGGGTGCCTGGCCTATTTCAAATTGTACTCTGAAGAGACAATGCCACCTGTGAGGAGGCGGAGCCATCTTCCCATGTTACAAATATAAGGGGTGGTTTTCATCATAGGAGTACCAGCGTGAACACTTGTTTCTCAGTAGGTTCAAAGGCATTGGTGCTCTATGGGTTGCAGAATTCTAGAGTAATACAAACTGAGAAATGCAGAGACTGGAAACTTGGGCCTCACTGTCATCCCCGACATCTTGAGTGGATCCCATCTTATCCAAGACAGGAAGATGATCTGAGGTCTACATATAATGAGGTGGGAAAAGGAGCTCATTTCAGGAAGCTGGGTTTGGGCAGGAATGGGAGGGGGAAAAATTCCTACGTGCTGTTAACAAGTGACAAGTCTTAACTGATTTTGGTCATATCTACTTGTCGTCATAAACTGTGATAATAATAGGGTTGAATTATGACAACGGTAGACTTTTGCACCCAATCATTAGTCTCAAAAATAGAACTGAAACAGACCAGTGTGGGAGGGGACCAGAGGCTCGCTGTGTTGAAGTGATCACACCCCAACACTTCTGTCCTACTGAATACATACATCCAGACTGAAGGAAGTGGAGGCATCCGTGTGTCAGGTCCTTCCCACGTGATGCCAGGAGAGAGAGCTTCTCTCCAACTGTGACTCCCTCCAGAAGCAAGGGCTGCCTGCTTTCACGCCGTTTTTGTAAAGCCACTATTTCATTTCCACACTAACACGTGAGTGCAGGAGGCCACCCACAAGCAAGGCCAACAGCACCAACTCTGGTCTTGAACGCGGAGAGCTGCACCGGCGCCTCTGGCTCAGGAGACGCTGGAATGCAGGGAACCGCGCGTCGCAGCGCAGACATGGGCCTTCGGAGGAGGGAGGCTTGTTTCTGCTCCCGAGACCACAGACTCGGCGATGTGACAACTCCAGTCCGCCAAAGACAGTCACTTCTAGCGTCGGCCCAAAAAACCGGATTCCTGGCAAGAGCTAGAGGAACGCTGGGAGTCACAGCATCTGGGGCCGCCGGTCGGGCCGCACCCACCTGACCCCCTCGGCCAAGGGCAGGGCCCGGCATTCCGTCAGTCCGCCCTCCCCCAGCTCCAGCCCCAGCCCTTAGCGCATCCCCTCCCCCTGTCAAAGGGACTGTGGTCCAGCTGTGCAAACACCAGGCCTGGGGCAACCAAGCTGACCTTGGGCCCCAGCGGGGGGCGCGGGGGGCGCGGGATGCACGGTGCGGGTGGAGAGGTCTGTTTGATTTGGGAAACGCCTTTTGACACCTGTCAGGCCTGCCTGGAACTGAAGTTGTGGGCCAAGGGTTCTGCGAGTCAGTTTCAAAGATCTCCCCCGTCGGGGACCCCCACACGCGCAGCCAGCCAGCTTTGTTGGCACTTCGCGGGACCATGATCCCTCTCAATCCCCTAGAAATACCCTCCAGGACAAATGGGTGGAGAAGCAAGCACAGCCAGGATGCCATCCCAGCCGGGTCTCTGCTCCCTGTGCCTGCTTTTCTGCCCTGCCAGGCCCTCTCCCCACGAGGAGCCAAGTCCGCAGCCTTTGGGGCCTGAAACGATCTCTGGGAAGTGACACGGTGTGATCCGCCTCCAGTCTAAGGCTCCGTTTCTACTACAGAACATGATTCCCATCAGTATGGGAAGAGTGGGACTGGGTGGTCAACGTGCTCTCGTCATTGCCAAGGGATGCCAGTGTCCCCTTGCCAGTGGCCAGGACAATGAAGTACTTTAACCAAGACCCTAAGCCCCTTTAACGTAGGGATAAAGAACCTAACTAAGGCCCCTTCTAGAATTGTGCCTCAGATTCCTAAACCCACATAAATTCTCAAAAAAAAAAAACAAGAAAGAAAGAAAGAAAAAGAAACACATCAGAAGGTCCCATCCCCCAGCAGATCAAGATGGGTTCTTTTAGGGGCACCCGCAGAGACTATCTTACTGATTTGGAAGCATTCCCAAGGAGAATCACCTATGCTCACTCTGGTTCTGCTGTTGCACAATTTCACAAACTTGATGTTTTCTGCCTCAGGGAATGTGTATTCACACACAAAATACAGTGCTATTGAGTCTCTTGGATATACTCACATACTTTCAAGCTAAGTAAGAGACCCTAATTTTACACACTGGAAATAGGATCCCACAGAGTGTTTTCAAATTCTCCTTAGTAGCAGACATGGGTCTAGAACCTAGGAGTTCCAGATCCTAGCTCAGAATTCTTTCCTCTGTAGCACAGTTATCTAGAGAATTCAGACCCAAACAAACTTTGGCCTGAACTTGGTTGAGCTATTCAGATAAATGTCTCAATTAACTTTTATTACATGGTCAGCAGATGTCCCATACTGGTAAATGGTTTCTTTTCACTACTTAGAACTTGTCTTCTCCCACCTCCCCGTAGCACCCAGAATTTCCCTTTCCTGGAGGAGGCCACATCTGCAAGGGGCTCCTAGATGTAGGCATCTTAGACCCCTTAATGTCAACATATTAGGCAGTGCAGCCCACCACAGTGGAATGTGGCACTGTTTTCTCTCACTTCTGCGGAGTGCCAGATACATGCACCTGTGGTGGGCAGCAAGCAGAACTCTGCTAAGAAAGGTCTGCAGGGAACTGGCTGTGACCTGGTAGATCCTGCCCTTTGATGACAAGCACTAACAGGTGGACAATCCTCATAAGAGCGCTCTTCTATTTCCCTGCACAGGCTCCAAACAACAAAAAAAAGTCCTTTTCCCCATACTGGGGAGAAAGTAGAATTTCTTAGAATAATTCACACTTCTTTTTTAAGCTTACAAAAAAATGCCACCTTAATGTACTCACCTGACTGATAACTTTCTTAGGTATTAGAGACTTGGTTGGCATCCAACATATAAAGATTTTACTGCTCTCTTTCACTATTTTTTAATTCTTTAGACCACAATAGCTGAG